GTGGGGACGCAGCTACTTGGAAGGCTGAGGCGGAAGTATCACCTGAGCCCAGCAGGCTGAGGATGCGGTACACTCTAGTCTGGGAGGCAGAGACCCCGACTCAAAAAAAAAAAACAAACCACAAACCCGAAATGGAATATGAATAGAAATTAACCTAATTAGTATCAAATTCATATTATAGTCACACTCATCGAAGTAACTTTGTTTTTATTTTATTGATCTATTTTTTGAGACAGGGTCTTGCTCGTCACCCAGGCCGGAGTGGAGCAGCGTGGTCATGGCTCAGCTTAACCTCCACCTCCTAGGCTCAGGTGATCCTTCTGCCTTGGCTTCTTGAGTAGTTGGGACCACTATATTTATCTGTTTGTTTTTGAGTCAGAGTCTTACTCTGTTGCCCAGGCTAGAGTTCAGTGGGATGCTCACGGCCACCACAGCCTCAACCTGCTGGGCTCCGGCGATCCTTCCGCCTCAGCCTTCCAAGTAGCTGGAGCTATAGGCACGCGCCACCATGCCCGGCTACATTTTTGATTTATTGTAGAGATGAGGTCTCGCCAAGTTGCCCAGGCTGGTCTCAAACCCCCGGACTCAGGCAATCCTGTTGCCTCTGCCTCCCAAAGTAATGAGATTACAGGTGTGAGCCACCTCTCTCAGCTTGTCACAATTTTACAGAAGGGACTGCTTACAGCAAAGCAAACATTTCAACAAATAGATAACTGAAGAATTCCCAGCCTCTGGGACTGAGTTGGGCTGTGCGGTGGACAGCACCCCCTGCAGGACACACTTGCCAAACACCGGCCCCAAATCAGATCTTGTCATAACTTGTTTATACAAATTATAATTTTTTTTTTTTTTTGAGTTGGAGTCTCACTCTGTCGTCCAGACTGGAGTGCAGTGGCTGCTCCCGGCCACCACAGCCTTGACCCACTGGGCTCCAGCGATCCTTCCGCCTCAGCCTTCCAAGTAGCTGGAAACACAGGCACGTAGAGCACTCCCAGCTAATTTTTTGATTCATTGTAGAGACGAGGTCTCGCAGTGTTGCCCAGGCTGGTCTCGAATCCCTGGACTCAGGCAATCCTTTCACCTTGGCCTCCCCAAGTGCTGGGATTCCAGGCATGAGCCCCCGTGCCCGGCTGGAACGCCCGGTTCTTGTCGTCTTCCTGGACGGCAGCAGAGCACAGAGTTGGGTTTTGATGTCTCACCTCTTTCTGCCAATCTCAAGGTGCTGGCACTGTTGCCCCATGTTGCATGTGGGCCAAACTGAGGCAGAGGGCTACCCAGGAGCCTGGCACTCAGAAGTTATGACCTTCCCGCCCCTGGCAGCCTGCACTGCAATTGAGGCCTGCTGCTCTCGCCACGGCGGGTGAGGCAAGTCGCTGGGCGAGCTCCATTAGGGTCACGGGACCCTGAGCCAAGTGTCTGATCCCACTCTACCCTGGCCGTCTTCACTTAAACCTCTCAGCCGGTGCACGGCTTACATAGTACACAACCCACACGACTGCGCTCAGCAGCCCTGGGACCAAACTCCGAGGAGACCTTTGGGGCCAGAGCTGTTGATCCTGCCCTGAGCTCTGAGCCCTCAAGCTGTGCCTTCCCTGCACATCAGGTGCCCCCAAGTCAAGCAGACTCCACCGAGCCGGGCCGATGGTCTCCTCTGACTCCTGCCCTGCGTCTCTGGCAGCTAAGCCTCGAAGAGGAGGTCTGCGTGTGGGGCCCAGTGCCCTCCCAATGACCACCCCAGTACCCAGGTCTCCTTCGGCTCCTCCTCCTCCACGCCCCCAGGCAACGGGCGACCACTGGCAATGACCCTAGGGCTCTGGGAATTCCACACCTCCTTCCTCCCACCCAGAAGCATGGCACTTCTCCCGGCCCTCTGCCTGCTAGCCATGCCTGAGGTGTCACCCTGCATCACGTCTGCCCTGGGCAGCCTACAGATCCCCTCCTTCCCCGGCCCCCGTCCCTCCAGCCCAGTGAGGCAAGGGGAGCCCCTCCCAGAGCCAGGCCTGCAGGTGGCGGGGCTGCCTGGGAGGGCCCTGAGGGGCTGCCCGGAGGCCCAGGGGCTGGAGGCGGCTCCGGACCCTGTGCCTTTGGCATCTCCTCCCACCAGGACTGGTCACCCCCCACCCCAACTCCTTGCCAGCTTATAATTGAGAGAGGTGTCGCCTCTTGCCCCTTCCCCTCAGCCAAAGGTGACACACAGGGGTCCACACACATCTTGTTTGACCTGCCATACTTCTTAAAAGTTTCATTTAGCTGCTATCGTTTAAAAATCAGAAGATTCCGCTTAGAGACCCAGCATCCTCGTTTCTTTGCAAAGTCGGCACGAGGCCCGCACTCGCGTGTGATGACAGCTGGGTCATCCTGGCTGCTCCCTCTCTGGGGCCACGCCCTGCTTCCTGAAGCTCTAACCTTCCCAGTGCCACTGCCGCCTGCATCAGCCACCTGGTCCCGGTCTCTGTGTGGGGCGGCCTGGCGGGAGGAGCAAAGCACACTTGAGTCCGCTGAGGTGACGCTGCCCCGGTCAGCTCCCATCACCACAGGCCTCGCACGCCAAGTGGCAGAAGAGGGCGGGCAGGGGCAGGGGGAGTCCTGGCCAGAACCGCTCCGCACCTCTCTGATCACGTTCATTGCTCACGGTGCCCCGGCCCTGTGTCCAGCCACTGGAGCCTGCCTCACGGACCATCTGGCTTTAGGCGGCGCCACGTCCCATCAAGGCCCGTCCTGCGCCTGAGTCGCATGGCCGTGGGCACGGGCTCCCCGCTGTCCAGCCACGTCAGCCAAATGTGCACCAGGGGGTGGCAGCCTTGTCACAGTCCAGCACGATGTTGAGGACAGTGCAGGGGGCGCCGCCCACAGACAGGGCCGTGCGGGAATCCACACGGTACTGCACGGTGCTCAGGCCGCCCTCCCGGTCCACCTTGAACTGCTCCTGGGAAGGAGAGGACAGAGCATGGTCTCAGGTGCCGGCTGCCACTGACCCGCACTACCTCGCCGCCAGACGTCCCCCAGCAGGGGAGGAACCAAAGCTCCGAGAAGCAGGTTTCCGGTCTGAGCTGGGACGCTCCTCAGTGGGAGAGCAGGGTCCTCTGGGGCTGTCAAGGCGGGCCCTGCGGCCCCCGTGTGACCAGGGTCTGGAGCCCCCGTGCCACCCATTAGCTTGCACAGACCTGAGGTCTGGGCTGACGCACAGTGCCCAGGGCGCCCGTGGTAGCGGCACCCACACAGAATGCCGGCTGACGGACCTGGGCCCGCAAGGGAGGACCTGGAAGACCTCTCAGGCCTGAAGCTCTCAAGTCGCCGCCCACCCATCACCACCCACCGCACCTGCTTCTGAGCTGCGATGCGCTTCTGGTCCCTCTTCCGCCAGGCTGGGTCGTGCAGATGGCGGAACGTCTTGTACCCAGTTGTGATTCCCGAGGGGCGGAAAAGCTGAGGAGGCCGGGAAGTGAGGCTCAGGCGCCCCGCAGGGCCCTGGCCCTCCCCACCGGTGCTCTGAGGTCTCACTGCCTGCTGGAAGCCACAGGCGGGACCGCTTTCCCCCTGCAGGGAGGAGGCTGTCGGGGCAAGGGATGGGCCGGGGGGCTCTGAGGGCAGGGCAGGGATGGGAAGTAGGTGCCCGCTCCGAGTCCCGGGACCCTTATCTCGGGGCAGCCTGTGCTCCTTTAATGAGCCTACCTGCAGTCCGGCTCCTTTAATGCGCCGGTAGAACTCGTCATCTTCACGGCCCCAGCCCCAGAAGCGGTTGGACATCCCGTTGCACTGACAGAGACAGGCAGCATCACTGGCCCTGTCCCCCGGAGGAGCCCTGTGGTCTCGCCATGAGGGGCGCCACCTCCACCCCTCCCCCTCCCCGGCCGTCTGGGCTCGCAGGTCCCTGGGCCTCTGCGGTGCTGGGGGTGGGGGGACCAGCAGGGCCCCTCTCCCTGGCCTAGCGGGGCCTTGGATCTGCAAGACGTCTGACTGGCCAGGGGCCTCGGGGGTGTGGAGGGGCAGGAGCGCCAGCCGTGACTGGTTTCGGCCCCCTTCCTCCTGGGCCCTGCCTTGTCTCTGTGTGAGGCAGCAGGCAACTCTCTCATGTCCAGTGCATGGGCTGAGTTTACATAAAGCGGGCTTCAGCCAGGGTTTGGAGAGGAGACCCAGGTCTATGCCCTAAGCTGGTGACTGGCTCAGTCCAGGAGTAACAAGAGTCGGTGTGGCTCAGGCCTGGGACTCCTGCCCTGGCTGCTGGGCAGGGGCTCCACCTCCCACCAGGCCAGGCCCAAGTGGGTGCAGGCCACAGCAAGGGCGACCGCCGCACTTCCTGCACGTCTGACACTCAGCCCAATCCGGGGAAGGCGGACCTGAGACGGACAGAGAGAGTCCAGGCAGGCCGCATCTGAAGCCACCTCCCCCAGTGCCAAGGGCCAACAGACCCGCGCCCTGAAGCCAGCACTTGGCTCTGGCCTGCAGCTGCCTTGTGCGCGCCCACCCCCCTGGCTGCACCCGGGCCCCTGCCTGGCAGGGCGGGCTCCTCTGCAGGCTGAGGCGCAGCCCCTGCTGCCAGCCCCCGCCCGGTGGGAGCTTGGGCTGGGGCCTCACCAGCTGGTAGTGCTGCTTGGACAGCAGCAGGATGCCACCGACGTAGGTCTTGTAGTGGTAGAGCGGGTGCAGCTCCGGGGAGGCCACGTGGAAGGGCCCGGCCTCGGGAAAGCCGTAGTCCAGCGCCTCGTTGAGGGGCAGCAGGTCCACGTCGTGCATGGCGATGTAGTCGGTGCTGTTGCCGCTCTCCAGGAAGCCCACATTGATGAGTGCTGCCCGGTTGAACCTGCACAGGGGGCCGGGCTGGGCAGGGCTCCTCTGCAGCCCTCCGGCCCGGCTGCGCGCTCCACGCGGGGCTGCCCCCTCCACCGGCACCCAGCGTTCACCTACTACGTGCCAAGCCCGTCCAAGCCCTGGGGACGCAGAGTGGGAAGACCGGGCCTGCTCTCAAGGAGGGGATCCGGCTGGGAGGACACGGGGCGGGGCCGGTGTGAGTGTGGAGGGTGGGAAAGCAGGAGGGTGACTGTCTGGGCGGGGCTGTTCTCCCAGGTGGACAGAGAGTCCAGGCAGCCACATCTGAAGCCACCTCCCCCAGTGCCAAGGGCCGACAGACGCGCACCCTGAAGCCATGAAGCAGAACCCCGAGGGCCTGAGGAAGGGCTGCGGGTTCCAAGCAGGGGTTGGTGCTGCCAGGCTGAGGCAGGCACGGACAGTGTGCAGCCCAGGGGGAGGTTGGAGGGCACGAGGCCCGGGGACAGGCCCCTGCGGGTCAGGGCCTGGGGGAAACGGGCAGCTGTGACGCGCCCTGTGCAGGGGCCCTGTGCTGCGACACAACCACGAGTGGGGCCACTCCAGCTGGTGTGCTGAGACGGGGGGCGGCTGTGAGTGACTTGGGCAGGAGACGATGGCGGCCTAGCTTGGGAAGGGGCAGGAGCGACGGGCGGGCAGATCTCAGATGTCTCGCTGGGGGGCTGGGTGTGTTTGACAGAAAGGGTGGCTGCCAGGGCTTGGGCCTGAGCAGCAAAGC